TTTTTCTCGCTGGCTATTTCCGCTTCATCAGTTATGAATTCGGCACTCGGCCAATTTTCTTGGGATTTTAAAAGCTAGCTCGGACCCTCCCACCATTTTGACCGGGAGAGTTGGTGAACTGAACACCCTCTACTTGGAAGATCTGCAGGGTTAAGGTGACCAGGTATATGCCTCCAATCCTCCACACGTGTCAAAAGCCTTATTTCCTGTACTCTATATTTGTACAAATGTCCCCCATGGTTCTTCCCTTTTTATCCATGCAAGGGCACTAGTTGAATCTATCCAGAAAAATGTACTTCTGGCCTCAAAGTCTTTTAGAATGTCTGCAGCAAAACGAGATGCAATAGTTGCTGCTAACAATTCTAATCTTACAATAGTCGTTTCCTTTTTACCACAAGGGGAAACTCTAGACCTAGCCTGACGCAACTGGACTTTAACTGATTCAGTTTCTTCTACACAAATGAAAACTAGTGCCGCATACGCTGCTTGATTGGCGTCACAGAAAACATGTATTGAACACTGTTTTGGCTGATATCGTATCCACCTTGGAATTTTAATGTTTTTCAAAAGAAAAATGTCTTTTACCCATTTCAAAAATTTACTTTTAATTTCAGTGTTAACTTCTTCTTCGTCCCATTTTACTTTTTGTTTCCCATGTACGCTGAATAACATCTTGGGTAATATAAGGACAGGACATGTTATACCGATGGGATCAAATACTTTATGGGCTACTGCCAAAATACTTCTTTTCGTGACTTTCTCGAAACAAAGATTTTGCAAATTAGCAACATTTTTTTGAAGAGTATCGCCTTGTCTTTCCCATAACAAACCTAATACGTTAATAATAGCCACAAGACCGTTTGAAATTTGTTTATGATTTCCCGTTAATAATCACTCTGCAACATCGGCTCCTATTAAGGCTCCTATTATAGGTCCTTTTAAACGATCTGTTAAACTTATTCCACAGTCAGCAAGCTCTTTAAGCCATATTCCTTGTCCAATAGAAGGTATATTATTACAAATAACAGGCTGACTTAACGTATCAAAATTACAGCTGTATACAAGCCAGACGTATTAGGTAAATTGAATTTTGTAAACTTTATATGTTCACACAACTGGTCGTTGTACCGCCAAATAATGCGTGGTTAAGGTATTCCTTTACTGTATACCTATAACCCATATCTTGAGCTGTGCTTTGCAGAATATACGACCTTTGCAGAACCAGTATCAATTATAGCTCGAGCCGAACGAGATTTTTATCTCCTTTAATTATTACTCTTATTGTTTGCAGCAAAACTTTAGGAGACCTTGAAGAAATGTTGGCGAGTGTTTCAGCCTGATTTGGAGGCTGTTCCGTTGCCCTTGTCTCACTCATTTGTGAATGGCCTGTACATAGAAAAATATGATGCCTTTTACCACATGTAAAACAAACTGTTTTTAATCTACACCTCCTGCCAGAATGTCAAAATTTCAGACACAGGTAACAAGAGCGTGTCCTTTGGACCAAAACTTCTCTTTCCGACAACGATAAGTTACGCGCCTGAAAACATTTCGCAGAACCGTGATTTATACTGGAACAAAATATGCAGCCTTTTCTAGCTTCATGAGAAGAAGTAAACAGTTCAGCTGCCGTAGGTTTTAAGTGAGGTTCTCTTATCTTTAAACCCAAATTTCCTTTCTTATTACCGTGAGCCGATCGATCGAAAACATTGAATGATTTAGCTGCTAAAGAAATTCTTTCCTCACTTTCAACTTCACTGCACAAGAAACATAAAAGGCGCTCAAGGTCAGATTCCCTTTCTCTTAACTTGGTGTTTTCGCCGGTTAAACTTTCTGATCCTTTACGCGAAAACCCAAGTCTCTTCCACGTTTTTAAGACTTCATTCGGCCCTTTCTCTTAACTTGGCGTTTTCGCCGGTTAAACTTTCTGATCCTTTACGCGAAAACCCAAGTCTCTCCCACGTTTTTAAGACTTCATTCGGCAATGCTGATTCTACCATTGGGTACAATATCGCGCAATATTTGCCTCTATTTATTCCCAATATCTCCAAGGCTCTTAGATTAGATTCAAGTTCATCGTATAATTTCCGTAAAGAGTGTGTACTTTGTTTTTGAATAACAAGGGTTAACAAATCACGAATATAAATCTCGGTTAGTAATTCTTTGTTACCAAAATGCGTTTGCAATGCTTCAATTGCGCTCTTGTAACTATCGCCAGTTGGCGGAAAGCTTTTAACTATTTTCTCTGCGGGAGAATTCTTCTCCACAGCCTGTGCCAAATAAGCAAATTTATCATTATTATCTAATGTAGGATCTTTATCAATCTTTTGGAATTGCCTCCAAAATCCTAGCCATTTCTTCACGTTACCATCAAAGATAGACAATTTAATCTTCGGATAATGTAACATTTTATTCTGAACAAAGGGCGGATCAATTAAAGTTACATTCGGGGTACCAGAAGTGAGATCTTTTAGTTTACTTTCCATAAGTTTCCACCTATCAAAATATAATTCAGATTCATCTATTTCCTTAATAAGTAAAGTCTCATCTGTAATTTCTTTAAACATTAATTCTCGTATTTTCATTTCAGTATCAAATAAAACTTTAGCTTTCTCGGCAATAACTTTTATTTTAATTAATTTTTCTTCCTGATTAAATTTAGTTTCTTCATTGTCAAATTCATTACATGCTTTACTAAATAATCTTCTATATTGAGTTCGTGCTAATTTTAAGGCTTCCATGATTCAAAAATACTTAATAAAGTCGCTTACCTTGCAGACAATGTCCTGTCGCTTGGCGCCAAATGTTGATTTTTCCTGTCAAATCCTATGTGATATATCTGACTTCGAATCTAAAATTTCTGAAGAACACAAAACCTTGTCTAAAACTTAAAGGTTTATTCAACTGGAACTTCAAAATGATGAAAAACAAAAACTTAACATCTTAGGTGGAAACATTCAAAATGCTTTAAAGTGTCAGCTATTCCGGCACGGTGAAGAACACTTTCTTTAAGAGGACAAAATCCATCTAGTCCTTTCGGCATACATCTCCATTTTAGTTTCGTTGGCTTCAGACTTCAGCTCCAACGTGTTTTGGACTTAAACGGCCGGACTGGAACTGGAACAGGACCGGAACAAGACAGGAACCGGAACATGACGGGAACCGGAACAAGACGGGAACCGGAACAAGACAGGAACCGGAACCTATCATCCCCTGGCTTCTCCCCCGGGCAAGTCTACTCTGGCTCGAACTGAAAATGAACTGCACCACTACCAAGGAAAGCACCTCCTTTTATTGATGGCAGTTGCCATTACTACAGGCAATTATGCAAAATATTTAACACTGCATTTGATTGCATAGCAGTCATTCTGCAACGTTTGGTGTGTAATGACTGCTGGTTTCACAACTGAACCATTTTTCTCTGAATAGCAGTAAACAGCTAGACCACTGTGATTGCAGCTCGCATAGAGTCAATGTTAAAATGTTTCGTGATACATGAACTGCAGTAATGTGGCATTTTAGATACTACGATTTTTATGCAGCGCTGGGCCCCACCGCACAGTTACTTAGGAAACATTTCATGAATGAACGCCTTATAGGCCAACACTTCCCCTCTTCCCACCAGACCTCAAACCTCTGTGACTGTTAGCTATGAGTTTATCTCAAAAGCACTGTTTATGGTGATAATCTAAACAATTTGGCAGAAATGAAAAATGTGATACACCAACATGACCGTATCATTCCTCCTGATATGCTAAGAGCTGCTGTTGAGAATGCAGTAACAGGATTTAATTTGCTTTCAGAAAATAATGGACGTTACATTGCACATGCTTTGTAACACATTTCGGAAACGATTAAACACATTTTAAACCGATGTTTTCATGTCTTATTTCATTTAACAATATTGCATACAGCACCATTTTCCCCCTGGTGGTGAGTTTTTGAACTCTTTTTTTTTTTTTTTTTTTCCCGCGGAAAATAAATTCCCATAACCTCCTTTACACATGAACATATATTTTAATATATATTTTAATATATGCAGTTTTCAAATGCATCGTAGTCTGGGTTACAAAGTATTCTTTCAAAAGAAACGCAATTCAAGTAAATAAAATCAAATTCTGGAAAATTTATATTAATAAATATATTTAAAATGCTCAGTTTGAATGAATAAATAGAAAATTTTAAAATAATTATCTGAAGAGACAATGCAACACTAACAATTAAAACAAAAGTCTGAAAATTTTAAAATTACCTAAAATAGTAACTATGACGAAAAATGTACTATAAAGAAAACTATTTGAAAAAAAAAATAATAATAAACGATACACCTTTGATTTAAACTACGCAGTTCGAATGAGTAAATAGAAATTTCTAAAACAGTTATTCGAAAGAAACTATGCAACGTAAACAATAAAAATAAAAATTCGGAAAGAAAAAAAAAATTGCTTCAAGTTTATAACAATTGTAATTAAAAATATAAGAGCATTATTTGAAAGAAGGAATGATTGGGTCTTTTTTTCCTCTCACGCACTATGTAAAAATGGAAATGAAAATAGGTTGCCACATATAAAAAAGTTCGCCAAGTGAACTGTTTTTGGCGCAAACTAAATAAAAAGCGCCAACATAAATTGTTGAATTTCTCCGTAAATTTTGCACCAAATTTTACAAAATTTAATATTTAGGCATAATTTGAGTCGTAGAATCGAAATATGTAAAAAAATTTTTATGTTATTTCAGAAAAAGTCCGATTTTGTGTCAAAATTTATATGTTAGAATAGTGCTATATATAAGTCTAATATATATTCTAAGTCGTACTTTCGAGACATGAAGAATGCAATTTGAATTTCGTGAATCGACCCAGTAGAACGGGAGATATAGAACTGTCCCCCCTTTTTTTTTTAGCAGTGTACATATGTTTTTGTTTAAACTAATGTTTTCACATTATATTTAATTCAAAGTTTTAAAGCATATTTTATTAAAATTATAATTGTTAACATTATATTATAGGCTCTCAAGATGAAATTTATACAGAATCTTTAATTGCTGGAGCTATGACCATGGCATTATGTTGTATCCTTAAAATGTGAAATTAGTTTTTAAATCTATAACATAATTTCTATCACTTTGATAACTTCTATTTTGAAGATGCCAAAAGTTTTTATTATCCTGTTTGATTTAAATGTAACTGGTTGAGATGAAAATGATATTTCATGATAAGTTACCTGGATTTAAAACCCTATGTACAATAAAAATTAGCAATGCAAATGCACAGAAAGTTTGCATAACATGATAAGGTAGGTAGCTTATATCACTGCTAACTGAACTATGAAAAAGTAAAGACGTGAAACACTAACCAGCATGAAAGTGAACAAAAGCATCGACTGTTGTATTTTATCTGGTTGTTGGAGTAGTAGCATAGAAAGTGGTAAAAGAAACACCATCAGTGTTTGCCATATTGCATTCTGAATTTAATTTAAATGCTTTCAAGAAAATTTGTCAGATATGCCAAATATATTAGTGATAACAGAACAATATGTAATCATATGAGCATTGTCACACAGTTCCGTCAATATAGTAAGGTTAGTAAGAGGAGGAGATTCAATATTTTGTAAACACTATTAGGTTCTTTTAGAGCAGGAGACATGAAAAATGATATGTATGCTTGCCAGAATATGAATCATGAATCTTTCATTTATTAAATGAATGTGCTAACTGCCAAGCAGGAAGCCTTCTTACATTCTTCCTCCTAAAGGGAGGAGAAGCATGAGCCTTTTTGATCAAATCCAAGTTGTGATGAGTTTAAATACAGTCATCTTTGTTTTAATTTAAATACTGGTTCCAGTGTTTTAGTTGTGACCTTGTTTAATGGCATGTTTTAGTTTAGATCAAGGGTCTTCAAACTACGGCCCGAATCTGGCTCATGAGCACTAATGATCCAGCCCGCTAGGGATTTCTTTAAAATAATGTTATAAAATTTAAAGTAACAAATAACATACATTTTAACTGTTTTATATAACAGCCAAATCAAACATATTATAAACATTATACAACTGTTTCTAAATTTACAATGAGTGAAATACTGTAACACTGTATGTATAAAAAATCTCACATGGACATGCATGACCTCCTCATATGTCCTTTAAATTATACACATTTTTTGCTGCATTTCATTTAAACTTATTTCCTCAAATCTCATGAGAGTTATATTTCTCGTTCAATCAATTCAATTCTCACTTCACGACAAGGCAAAAATACATAAAAACTTATAACTTCTTCAAACAGAGCAAGAGTTTAAAATGTGAACAAATGACGGCTTCATTAGGATTAGTAGGACTTAAACCAACTTTTAAATTGTTGGTAATTCTACAACTATTGCATGCAGATTAACTAAAGTCTTAAAACCTAGCCACTTTTAAAGCAAAAAATGCACAATTTCCAAACATATAAGAATAAAAAAAATGAGCTCACCAAGCTGGGTAACAGAGTAGGTATATATATATATATAGAGAGAGAGAGAGAGAGAGAGACTTTTGATGCAGCCAATTGCAATCAAAAAGGGAGGTACACAGCTACATGTTATAGCACTGACATAAACAAAATTTCAACCTTTTGAGCTACTCGTTTTTATATTATGCAAGATACATATATACGTATGTATGTACAGACACCACAAAATAAATCTCTCCTGAATCCATTTTACAATCTGTTATGGGAAAAGAGTCCTTTATTCTGTGCGTGCGTACAGATGTCTCACTCACACACACACACAAAATTCAAATGGATTCGACAGAGGTCAAAATGATATTTTCATTGAAATATGATGTTCTAAATTTTTTGCAACTACTATACTTCCTTTACTTCGCACAAGGGAGTAAAAAATTCTCATTGTACCTTTTTACAAGAATAAAGGCTTTGTGTGTTATCTTCCCTACTTTCATAGTAGTATTCTGGGTCAGTTCATAGTGATTTTATTTCAAATTTAATTTTTGTTCTGTTTATGTTGTAATTTATTTTAATCTTGGAGATGTTTTTTCATACAAAACTTACCCAAAATATGAAATACTTATGAGCAAAAGTTTGCTCCAGATCAAAATGTAAATAAAATGCTCTGATAAATTGTGACAATGGGAAGGTAAATAACATAACTTAACCAAAGAAATCTGTAATATTCTGGGACAAAAATATATTTTTGCAAATGCTTAAAAACAGCTTTAAGAAATTTATGTTAAGTGAAACTACATGGAAGCCTTAAAATCAAGGCTTTTCATAAGATCATAGCGTATAGATCAAATCACAAAAATCTCATTCCGTCATTTAAAAACATGTGGGCTGTTCATCACAATTACATCGCTGTGATATGATAAATTAACTGGATCTTGGGTCTCGAAGCTTTGTGAAAGAGCCAATATGGCCCATGAATTAAAATGTTTGGGGACCCCTGGTTTAGATTATCAAGTTTTTAGAGCAGTAAGCATAAAAATTAACTCTCTGTTGCTAAAATTTTAAGCTGTCATTTTTCAGTTGCTGCCTGAATATACTAACCACTTACAACACAAGACTGTAGAAAAGGAACTGCAGTAATTCTTTCAACTCTATAAGCTCACTTTTGAGCAGAAAGCAAATCACATGCTTTCATATATTTCTCTGCTTTGGTTTGTTGGATTTATTTAATTATGGCAAAGCACTCGAGAGCTATCTGCGTAAGGGAAGAGATGCCTTCATGGAGGACTTTCTAAGAGAAAATGTTTCTGCTTTCATGCTACAAAGTTGAATAATTCTTGGAATATATTGCATTGTGATATATTAGAAACACGAGTCCTATATGAGAATGTTAGCCCCTAAACAAGAATTAATGACAGAAGCCCATTTTGACCTTTAAAGCAGACTTATATGCATATATGTTGCCTCTTTGATGGAATATGCAAGATTATATATATTTTTATTGAGTGCTAAAAATACTAAAACTATTGCTGATGTTTACTATTAAAATAATCAGCATTGCTTAATCACAATGATGGTCTTCCTACAGCAGGCTAGAGCAAAACAGCATTTAAATAAGAGTGACCTGCAACAAGATCAGGAATTTTCAACAAGTTATCTTAAATTTTAAAATAGGTTCAGCCACATCATGATTATTTTCATTGTACTCACAAGACAAATCCTTGTGAACTACTTGTGAAGGTCACTCTGAACCTTTCCCTTTGTCTGTTGAACTGTATGCCAGCTTAATACAAGAGCTAACCGGTCTCAGGTAGGCAATTATGAATTGACATTCAGTTCAGGATTTTGCTGAGTTCGCTGCACATTCACCTGCTCTTATTATTTATGAATGATTTAAGGCCTAAGGGATACAGAGACAGCAATAAGAATGGGCGAGATTGTAGTTACAGAGAAGTAAAAATGAAGATATCTTATTACATTTTGTAATGTTAGTATTACTGTGTATTCTTATTGGAATGTAACTTTCTTTTAAAGAAATAATATTATGATTCTTACTTATAGTTTATCCATGACTGTTTTTCATGTATTATGTTCCTACTGTAGCCACATTTTCGGAAATTAAATTATTCGCATTATTTTCTCATCTTGATTTTTGGATGATAAAATTAGTGGTAAAAAGGGAGATATACGAGCAAATGTGATAATCATATATATATAAAAATATTTATTATGCTTCGTAATAATCAAATTAGAGGTTTAATTGCTTTGAAAACTGTCATTGTGTGGAAATCATTTATTAAGTTAATGTAGAAAAATTTTAATATTAACTGATTTAAATTTTTTTAAATCTGATTTTTTTAAACACTCTGATAGGCAAGCATTTTATGATATACCATTAAATAGTGATGATATGATGTATCATTCAACAGCCATTAATCTGTGATCTTTTAGCATCACAACTGAAATATGTCTGTTGACACATTTCATTTGTGATTTGTTGTTGATAGAGAAGATGGAGTATGCCATATTCATCCCAGAGTTTGGTGATAAACACTTCAACCAGAATAATTTGAATGATAGACAGGAATTTAGTGTATTAATCATGTTGCTGCAACTAAGATTATTTACCTGTTATAAAGTGAAAAATTACTTTTGAACATCATTAATCAAACTTTTTTAAGACACTTTTTTGAACCAGTTGGCTTTAACTTGTATTTGTTGGATAGTCAAATGATAAGGAATCTAGCAACGGCAGAGTTTGCTAAAAGCATGGTTTCCATGAAGAATATTTTTAATGGCTACCAGTCCATTATTTAAAATTGGGTTGAAACTAATCACAAATTAAATTGTTGTCTTTTTTAACATCTATTCTATAGACATATTTTGATTAGTTTAAGGAGTGAATAGTCAGCCCTTCAAAAAATTATGTATAGATAAGAACCAGCCACAGGACATCTTGCAAAGAGTATTGCTTCTTCTGGTTCATTGAACCATCTGTAATTTGTACTTTGGGAAAAAGAGGATTTCTCAGAAATACCACATAGATGTCTAAGAGTCTTGTCATTTATATAGTCTAACCTTAAAATTGTAAAAAATAATGGCACAAAAATGCTCAAGAAATTGACTTCAATTATCCATTAAGTTTTTAATTATTATATATTAACTAGGAAAAGACAAAGTGTCTTTTTGCCAAACTGCAGCTCTTCCTTGTGAACCAAAAAAAAGGAGGAATTTTTTTTCAAAATTTAGCAATTGTTTCTTCCCCCCCCCTTCATGAAGAAGAGGAACATACATGTGATCACTTTCAAAATTAATAGCTTTATTCTTTAAAATTTTATATTGATGCCACCACTTGGCATGTAGCTTTACAGTGGGATGTGTCAGATTTTGGTCTTGCAGATAGCATAATTATACCTGAATCAACAATTTGTTTTAAGTATCAAAACAGTTATAATTGTGCCAGCAGCATAGTTTTTCTTACGTGGAAATATAATATGGCTTACTTAATCTGAAGTTTAATTCTTATGAATAGCATATCTTCTGTTATGTACATTATTTGAGACATTTAGGTCATTATTTGTTATTTTGTATAGTCCATAATATAATGGCCTATTAACTGGTTGTGAACAAATATATATTTACTTATGTTGAACATAGTTGGGTATTTATGTCGAATGTAGTTAACAGCATTACTACAAAATGCATCTATAAATGCATTATTTATTAAACTGTTTAAAATTGAAAAAAATTAACAGTGGAAATTTATTTAGGACTAAAATAGGAATTGTGCTTGGAAGAGGGGAGATATATATCGTTGATTCAAATTTTATTGTGACAAAATAAATTATCTAAAAACCATGAATAGTAAAATTGGAAGTTTCCTGAATAATGTTATGACACTTAATAATTCAAAAACTTGCTATTTTCATACATTTTTGCTTTTTTATAAAATTTATTTTTTCCCATTTTTTACAAATAATTTATTATGTAATTATACAATGAACTGTCTCATGGAAACCACTCTCTAAGATGAGCAGAGTGAGTCCTCAGTTCACAAATTTAATTTATCCCTGAATGCTGTTCATCATCCGAAATGTTTTTAAATTGAAACCGTTCTCCTCATGGGAAGTAATCTAAAATGGAATAATCTTGTTTTAGATCACACATGATTATTTTTTTTAAATTTAGAAAAATATTTTGTGTATATAATTCAAAACTGATGGAAATCATTTAGTCTAAGAAAAAATAAATGCTATATTAAACAGATAAATCAGACTAAAACTTAATTTAATTTTAATATACCTGTACTAAAGAGTGAATAAAAAAGAGGAGTGAATGTAATAAGTGGAAAATGATGAGAAAGAAAAAGGGGAAGAGATGTTGCTGTTTGGATAATAAGTGCTTTTCCATAAAAACACTTGGCAGTTTCCTTCTTCGAATATCTTTTTCATCTCTTTTTTGTCTCTTAGCACACTGTGTTTGAGACTTCCTGAGCCTCTATTTTAAATAAAAGTATTTTAAAATTAACAATTGAATATTAAAAAAAAAATGGAGAAAAAATAAACTTTAAAATGAAAGGAAGCCAATTTTTTTCTCACCATCTTGCTTTTCTGAGTCTAGAAAATGACAGTTTTGTCATATCTAATTTTGATTGCATCAACGAAAGTGAAATTGGAATATCTGAGATATAAAGTTCTTTATAAAGTCAGCAGTTCAGGCTTTATATGATATTTATTCATATGATATATGTATGCTTTTTTTTTAAAGTAATTGTGCTTTATTGTTCATGTTGTATTTCTTATTTCTGAAAATATACTTTGCAATACTTTTTAAATTGTTACATTAAGTAATTCATTGTGAATATTGCCTTCATTGGTCTCTAAAGCATATGTGTTTAAAGACTTAACTTATTTTCATATATACATCGAGCTCAGAAGCAGCAAATAATGGACAAAAAAATTCCTGCTCGAATTCTAGTAAGAACTGTGCTCTTTTTCCTTTGAAATGGGGGTGGGGGGACTTAAAAATGTGGTGCGAATATTTTACTGGAATTCTAAAATACTTGTTTTCTAGGTTGTGACTGCTTCTGGGGACAGTGCTTCACAATATATGAATTTTATGAATGTTTTTTTCACGTCTCAAAAAGAGGTAATTTTTATATAAGCTAGTTTAAATTGTATGTTTACTGATTTGGCTTGCATTTATAATTTTTTCTATATTGCAATATTCTTGAATGTCTACTGTTTCTAGCTGATAGCTATGAACACATTTTTACATTAACCTTCCAGCATGCGCGCTTGGCAATTTTACATGAGCGTGCGCGCGTCGTATTTTTTACGACATCTGTTAATTTAACTTTTTGCGCACGAAAAACGACAGAAATGGGTGAATATTAATAATAAATTTGTTAAGAAATAAAATATTAATCTTATTATTGCAAAATACAAATGATATCGCATTGAAATATAAGTAAAAGTTCTTATGTTAGTGAGATGGAAATGCAATGCAAAACTGAATTTGTCGTAAATTTTGTGCATACGCGCATGCTGGAAGGTTAAATGTGTAAATTTTAAAGGCACACTTCTGTTATCTGAGCCAGATTCAGAAATCTAGGCATGTATGGTATAAAAATATTATGTAGGAGTGTATATGTGTATATGTGTACACACACATACATTTGTATGTACACTGCGCAGGAAAAAAAAGGGGGGGTATCTATATCTCCCATTCTACTGGACCGATTGACGAAATTCAAATTTTGTTTTTCATCTCTCGAAAGTGCGACTCAAGATATATATTAGATTTATATGTTATAGGATTCAAGCTCACAGTGACAGCATTTTTCGTAGGCAGATGCATGTAGTAACCGGCGATAGTAAGAAATGGCGTCAGTTGATCAGAGAATCAATATCAAATTTTGTGTTCGCTTGGAAAAGAGTGCTACGGAGACTTTCGAAATGTTGAAGCATGTGTATGGAAGTGAAATGTTATTGAGAACACAAGCTTTTGAGTAGCATCGTCATTTTAGAGAAGGCAGGAAAAGTGCTGAAGATGATGAACACTTTGGCCATCCCATGACTTCTCACACTGATGAAAACATCAAAGCGGTATCTGCGACAGTACATGCGAACAGGCAGCAAACAATTTGCCAAATAGCAGAACCAGTTGGGATAACAGAAGCCAATGATGTGGATACTGACTAAAGATCTTAACATGCATCGGGTGTGTCAACACTTCGTTCCCCATGTGTTAAAAATAGACCAAAAGGGAATTCGATTGGAAATCGTAGGAGACTTAATTTCGGCTTTTGACAAAGATCCTTCCCTGCGTATCAGAATTGTTATTGGTGACGAGAAATAGTGTTTTTTGTACGACCCACAAACCAAGAGAGCGTTGGCAAAGTGGAAATCAATACAATCTCCATGGTAGCAGAAATTCTGCCAAGATCGCTGTAAAGGTCATGCTAGAGGTATTCTTCGATATCCAGGGCATGTTGCATCTGGAATTTATCCCTGAAGGATGCATTATGAACAAAGAACTTTATGTTGAAATCTTGCATCATTTGCGTGAAGAGGAAGAAACCAAAAGAAGAGACACATTATTCAAAAATGGGGGCAAGACACTTGCAGGGTTGTGGATTTCAATCTTCAGATGACGTTAAATGTGCATTGCAAGGACATGGCCAAAAATGGATTCCAGACATGCTTTGATGATCTTTACAGGTGCTGGGAAAAGTGTATTGTTGCACTAAGGTCTTATTTAGAAGGAGAATGTGTTTCTGCAATTTAATTCAGAATATTTTTTACGTTATAGACTCAGTATGGGAACTTTTGAATTCAACCTCGTATATAGCGTTGTTCTAATATAGGTGTTTTGACACAAAATCGGACTTTTTTTGAAATGTTATGCCAGTTTTTTTCCAAATTTCGGTTCTACGACTCGCATTATGCCAAACTACCAAGTTTTGTAAACATCGCACGAGTAGTTTTTTAAAAATTAGTTCTCGAAATTTTAGCCCCTTAATATTAATTGAATTTGATATATATTTATTAATATCTCTTTTTTTTATTGAACTTACTTGATTCTTCCTTTCACATTTAAAAATTTAGGTTCATTCCAAGTAAAATTCGCCCATTTTTATGATTTATTTTAAAAATTTTGAATTATAACCTCTAAAATTTTTAACATCATCTTAAAACAGATGTATTTCTAGGCACACACTTGCAAAAAGTAAGTTTTTTTATTCAAAATTTTCTAAGATATACGTGAATTTACATAATGGAGCATTTTGAAATTTGGCACTTTTTTTTTTTTTTTTTTTTTTTTTTTTTTTTTTTTTTTTTTTTTTGAGTGATAATAATGCCAAACGATAATACGCACTTTGTTAAAATTATTTGAAAGTATGAACGATGACTTTCCCCCCCCCCACTTGTCTACAATGAAAGAAAGGAAAAGCAAATAGGTTGCTATAAATTAAGAAGTTCGCCAAGGAAATTATTCTTGGCTCAAACTGAAAAAAATATGCCAAGATAAATTTTTGAATTTCTCTGTAGATTTCATGCCAAATAGTGCAAAATTTAATATTTAGGCATAACTTGAGTCATAGAATCAAAATATGAAAAAAATTTGGCATATCATTTCATAAGAAGTCTGATTTTGTGTCAAAATACCTATTTTAGAATGATGCTATATTAAAATCTAATGCATATCCTAAGTCGTGCTTTAGAGACATGAAAAATGCAATTTGAATTTCTTCAATCGGTCCAGTAGAACGGGAGATCTAGAACTGTCCCCCCTTTTTTTACGCAGTGTACATGCATGCAAACATTAATATAGACATATATTTCTGAATGCGTTCCTGATAACAGAAGAGTACCATTTTAAAGAGCATTTTATTAAATGTTTGATCTGATAGCTTTCCCCCCCCCCTGGACTGTATGTCTACATCGTGATTTCCATGACAGAAAGACTTCTCACGAAATTTCCATGGATATTGATTTCCATTCCTCACCCACTGCATTTTAATAATGTTCATTGTTTGCAATGCTTTATTTAATTTCATTTGCAATTTTATTTTGTTTCTTTCGCTTTTTAATATAATGATCTCTGATACACGTAGAGGTAGTTATTTTTATTTTTAAAATTGCCTTCAACTATAACAAAATTTCAAAGTGGCTATAAACTAGCAAAGAGAACTGAAACACATTCTCGGATTTCAAGATCTTAGTGACTCAAATGTTTTTAAATTTTTATCCCCTGGTGATTGTGGGTTTAAAGTAATTCAAAACTGTTACATTACTTTACTTTTAGCAATTTAGCTTTTTGCTGTAATTCATTTCACTTCTAGCCTAAGGCTCACTTTCACAAACATTTGTTTTATTAATTTGTTTTAGTTTACTATTTCTATACAACTGAAAAGGCGCAGTTGCATCTAAATTCATTTTTTTTTTTTTTTTTTTTTTTTTTTTTTCCCATTTAAAAATTTGTTTTGTATCCTGGTGGGGAATGGTTTATTTTTCTTATTACACATAAATTTGTATAAGCAAAATTAAGGGAAATCATTTACAATAGTTCAATGTAGTGTGTTTTCATTGCTTGAAATTCCTGGATCTTCCATTTATACACTGGTTATCATAAATTAAGGAAAAATCATGATTACTGAGAAAGTTATATGTAGAATTTTATGAAACGTACCCACAATATACAACACATAGTAAGGTATCAATTAATGTAAAAATAAAATAACAGGCAATTATTGTAGTGTACAAATTAGCACATGAAATGAACAAATCGAAGGTGTCAGTTTGCTATAGGAAAAGTACCTTCAATATGGAATATGGTCGCTTCTAAAAACAATACAGCTCATACAGCGATATGTGATGCTTTCATTTATGCGCTGTATCAGTTCCATAGGAAGCGAGAGCTATTGTTTTTGCAAAGCAGTTGCAAGTGCGGCAAGGGTCTGAGGGGACGGATTGAGAGCAGCTAGACGTCTCCCTAAAGTATCCCAAACGTAATCGATAGAATTTAATTCCGGGGATCGAGCTGGCCACTCCATGCGCATAATTGTTTTCTGTTGAAGATAATCATCTATGATGCGAGCCCTGTGTGGTCTTGCATTGTCGTCCTGTAACAGGAAAGCATCACCTATTGCCCCGGCATATGGGCGCACATAAGTATGAAGGATGTAATCTCTATAAACCAGAGCATTCACGGTTTCCGTTAGAAAGACATGGAGGTCTGTGCATCCACCCAAAGAGATGCCACCCCAAACACAGACACTGCCCCTTCCGTATGCATCTCTTTCACAGATGTTTGTCGGATGATAACGGGTTCCAGGTTCTCTACATATCAAATAATGCCTACTATCGCTTTTTAGACTAAACCTGGACTCATTCGTAAAGAGAATAGCTCTCCATTGATCAGGCGTCCAGTGGATATGTTGTCGTGCCTACTGCAAACGGTCCCTCCTATGGCATGACGTGAGCGGCATGCAAATGGCTGGTCGTCTCGCATACAGACTACCTTCGTGAAGCCTTCTACATACAGTTGATGTTGACACTAACCTTCCAGTGGCTGCAGCAAGGGAGGATCAAAGAAGAGTCGGAGTAGTGGTTCCATTCCTGCGTGCACATAATGTCAAATATTTGCCACCGGCGCTTGTCGTAGCAGTTGGACGTGCTTGGCTGAACCTCCTAGATGCCGAATCTGTGGTTTGAAATCGCCTCCAAAGTCTATGAACCACAGAAAGAGTCACATTGACCATCTGGCCTTTTCTGTTTGACTTTGTCTTGCCTCTAGTGTTCCAGTGGCTCTCCATCGTAGTTCTGCAGCCAAATGATATCTGGAGATCATTGTTACGAATTGGCTATCTCAGATTTCTGATGTCACTATCACAGTGAAATATGTGGGCTTGCTCTCAAACATGGACCTTTATGCTCCTCGCAGATGACGTATTTTGAGTGCAGGGCCACTAATTTGCATATTGCAGTTTTATTCGCTATATTATTTTTATTCATCTCTGACTTGCCAACATATTCAAATGTTATACAGTGTGGCTTATTTTTGAGGGAGTTATTGCTATTTTTGTGATAACTTAATTTATGATAACCAGTGTATTTCACATCATTTATCAGTATATATTTAAA